GCTTAAATCCAAAAAAAAATTCTACAAGAGCCTTTAAAAAATTAGCTATCAGAAAGATGATGTCATCTAAAGTTTCACTGAGCATTGAGACCAATGATTATAAACTAGAAATCATGAAAAGTGCCGGTATTAGTCCAATGTTCAGGGTATTTGATTTGAACTAACTACCAGTATCGATGATTCCTCTCTTTTCACCCATCCTTAGGAATTCAGATCTAAAATATTACCTAACAAGTCTACTCAACTTAATTTCTAGAATTATTATAAATATAAGATTGTGCATTTTAATGATAATGGGTAGTACAGATATCTTAAACATTAGCATAGTAGAACCACCTGTGATGGCTCATAATTACTTTGTAGGAAGTGCATTAGTTACAACCAAGCTTACTTAATGAATGTTAAATGCTCACTTCGTAAAAGCCAAATTTACAATAATAGATGTAATTGATGAGAGTATAGTAGTATACTAATAGGAAGCAGATGCAATTTCCACCAAATCAGCAAACACAAGAAGAATTTGGGAAGAAGAACACTCCACGAAATTTTTTATTGCAAGAAATATGACAAAAAGCAGCAAGATACAGTTGGATCTTCAATTTGAAAAGAAGATCCGTCTCTACCAAATTCGTAGCCTCTGACTAGAGCTCTCACAACCTAAGAAATCCTAATTTCAGCAAACAAAAGCATGAAAACTAACCCTAGGGTAAACCACCTACATAAAGCACACAAAAATAATGCAAATCAAAAAGCAGCCCCTTCATATTAATTTTCCTTCCTAATTCTCCCCCATCTCCCGTTTGAAAAAGGTCCCTGGGCCCCACCCCAAAAGGGGCGGAACCTAATGTAGGCGACCTTTCCGTTTGCTGTAGAAAATAGCCGGTCCAGGAGGGACCGGTCCATCAATACCCCCCTCCCAAAGACCCATCTTGTCCTCAAGGTAGAAAGATGGAAATTACTTCTTCATCCTCTTGTATGGCTCCCATGTGGTGTCATAGTCGAGTAGGTTCTTCCATTTTATCAAGACTTCCTTGATCCCTCCCTCTCCCTATTGTACCCCTTTCATCTCCAATGGTTCCAATACCACTTTCAAATCCTCTATTAGTGTCACAGTTAACTCTGAATTAGATGCATGATCTCCAATAGCTCTCCTCCATTGTTGCACATGAAACATCAAATTTACAGTAGCGGTCGAAGATAACTTCAAGTGATAACCTACAACTCTAATCCTCTCTAGTATCTCATAAGAACCAAAATACATTAGGATCAGCTTCTCATTCCTCATGTTAGCCATTGTCCTTTGTCTGTAGGGACGAAGCTTTAAGTAGACCCTATCCCCTATCTCAAATTGGATGTCCTTTTTGCGCCAATCTGCCTGCTTCTTCATAATCTATTAAGCTCTCAACAAATGTCTTTTTAACTCATCCAACAGCTTGTCCCTCTGCAAGTACTGCTCTACCGAAGAGACTGGTGTACTGCTCTGTCCAAAGTGCATCAAATGAGGTGGGTCCCTTCCAGATAACACTTTGAAAGGAGTCATCTATGAAGCCCAATGATATGAAGTGTTGTACTGGTACTCTACCCATTCCATCCACTTGGTTCATAGCTGAGGTGTCTCTAAAGCAAAACATCTCAGATACATCTCAAGGCTCCTATTTACCACCTTTGTATATAAAGTAAACTTATAAGAGAGCATGCTTAAAACACATTATATTATTTTTTTAGTTCACACTGCATATTTTTCGGTTTATATTAAGACATGTCCATGACGTTAATAGTATTTTCTCATTCTAGGAAGCAATTTGATGTAGACAAGAGATGTAACTTTATGTTAATGAGGGATGCACGTTGATGTCAATGAGAGATAAGACTTTATATTGGTGAAGAAGCAACTTGATGTTGATTCGGGAATCAATGTTTGTAGCATCAATTGATAATGGTAGTTTTTGCTTGATATTGATGAACAATATATTTTGACCTTGTTGATGATCAATGTGCTTCTTGACGTGTCTATTGATGGTATTGGGAGGATATTAACCAACTGCAATTATGCCTAGGATATTGACAAGAAGCTTCTTTTGAGATTGTAGCTTGGGTTGTCACCCCAATATTGACTTGTTCATTGTGGAGGCATCATGGCTTATTTTTTAGATATTGTTGAAGTGGCATGTCATTCTTTCCCTAAGGCTAAGCAAGAAGATAAGAAATGTAGAGTTTCTTGTCATGATTGTTGATCAATGAAGGTGGGAATGATTTTCACATATGAAGTTAAATTATTATGTAAACAAAATTGAGACAGTAGAGTGAAGGTCAATTTCAATCGCCTCAATTATTTTCAATATCACAAAAAATCAATCAAATAATTTTCAATATCACACAAAATCAATCAAATAGAGAAGAGAACGAGGCATAATTTTTCATACGGAGAATCCTTAGAGATATATTGGTGTTATATTGGTCCACTTCCAAGCAATTAGAGGGTCTTTTGTGCAAGATAACCCTAAAGCGAGTAGAAAAGACAAAATTGATGGTGCCAATATAGGTCGTCATAAATGTCGAGGGTGGATTCGTAGGGTATGAGGCGATAGGGGATACGGTGTGACCAAAGTTGCTCATAGGGAGATTCAGGCTGAAGATGACTATACTTCACGTAAGCTAAAGATGATTTTTATGCAAGTCTCTGATGGACCTTGATTTGTAATTTTCGGAATCTAAGCAAAACAGCCCAAAAACGATGGAAAAATGCGAAATTTCTTGGATGAAAACACTCACAAACACTTCAATAACTTGAATATTAAAAGACTTACAAGTTTCCACGGATACAATGCTCTCAATTCGAGAAGAGAAGCTTTCTCCCAAGCCCTAGAGAAAAAGAAAACTAAAACAGCCACCAAAATGAGATCCCTCCAAAAAGCCACCCTAACTCACTTTTAACTTTCACATGAACCCCTCAAAATCCCCTCATTACCCCTAGGGAAAACACCACAACCTTTCTCTTCAACTTGGTGGGCCCCTTGGGCCCACCCGAGAACTTTCCCCCCCTCGGCTTGTCCGCCCAGGCAGGCGGGTTCTCCGCCTGACGTAAGTGAGAACCTGCCCTTTAAGGGCCGGTGTTGCTATGTCTCCGATTTTGACGAGCTTATACTCGAATCGAACGGCTCGACGAGACGAATCCAACGAGACCAAGATCGCCAAATTTCGACATCACTAAGGCCCTCAAATGTCCAACGAACGGTGCACGATTGAAGGATTCAATATCAGCCCTCCATTCGCCACTCCCTATTTGCAATCTCACACCTATTTACGAGATATGTCACTCCAAAAAAACTATAAATAGACCCCTCATTCCTCATAAGAGGGGACTCAAGTGAGAAGAGAGAGAAGCCAGAAGAAGAGAAGAAGAGGATAATCAGCTCCTCCTCGACCACCGCTAGAGTTCTTCCCACCGCCTGAATACGCCGGAATTCTGCCGGATATTCGGGAAACGCCGGGCTTGTGCACTTTGTTTAAATTCAGGAGAAACTTAGTGTAATATGATTGTCCTAACTTGTAGGACGAATCAGCTTCTTGTAATTTACACAACACTAGTGAAACTTTTCAACTGGGCGTGGCCCTGTGGTTTTTTCCCTTTTCAGGGTTTTCCACGTAAAAATCGTGGCGTTCTTTTATCTCTTGTTTGTGTGCTGAATATTCGTACAACGCTCAGACGTAAAATTACGAACTCTACCGCCGCGTATATTCTAGCACGCAACATTTCTATTTTTGAAAAAAAAATAAAAAATGATTTTAATGACCTAAAATTTAAGGAAAACTTTGTAAAATGCAGAAAATAAAGGTATAATTTATGAGGCTAATCGCCCATTTTTATCATTGAAGCTGCTACATACACAAAACGTATTAACACTATTTGCAAATTTCTAGCCTTTCATGAAAAAATATAAAGGCATAACAATTCCAAGAAATGTAGAAAACATGACAACAAAATGTATTTGGGAATAATCACAATAAGGTCTAATCTATGTTGCACCGATACGGATAAGGCGACACGGATACGACACGATACGGATACGGGACACGACAAATCTTAAAAATACAGGATACGGATACGGCGCGGATACGGCATCATAATATATAAATCATACATAAAAAATAACAAATTAATCAAATCATAATATTTGAAATGACAAAAAAAATGAAAGCAACATCATTTGTAGCATTGTATCTTATAATATTAAAATAGAAGTAAGCATAAAATATTTAAATGTCTAATACAACAACAAAAACATAAATTGTCATGCATATGAAGTTTTTAATTAAAAGTACGAATGATCGACACAATTAATCCACATGAATTTGAAACATGAAAATTTTTAATAAAAAGTATAGATATGTTGCACCTATGCCGGGGGTCCAAGGGGGCGCTGCCCCCTGGCGGGGTTCGACCAGCCCGGTCAGGTCGCATGGTCAAGGGGCAGCGCCCCCCGGAACAAATTTTTATTGTAAGAGTTGCTTTAAAGTTTTCTCTAACTTCTCGGCATTGCTTGGTACTATTCGGTACCCCTCTGTTTTTATTGTAAGAGCGGTACTGAGTACTGAGCAGTACCGAGTACTAGTATCTCTCGGTACCGAGCAGTACTGAGTTCTAGTATCGCTCAGTATCGAGCGGTACCGAGCAGTACCGAGCAATACCGAGTACTGAGCAGTACCGAGTACCAAGCAATACGCGTGTCCGATCAAATTTAAATAATATTTTAATTGACACGGCAAAGCCGTATCCGACACGTATCCATGCAGTATCGGAGGCGTATCCGTATCTGACACGTGTCCGATACAGCATGCCTCATAAATAGGCGTATCCGTGCAACATAGGGTCTAATCAGGGGGTGGTGGCACATCATTCTACGGGGCAGTTTTATCCTAAATCATGGTAAAAAAACTTCATGAAAGAAACATATGAAAACTACATCACCACAATAATGATACCGAATAGTTGTACTTACTGCAATTGTACAAGCAACATAGCCTGGTTTTTCTCTATGATCAACTCTTGTGGCACACAGTACTATGAAGGCTGCGACATACCATGGAATAGCAACAAGAAAGAACCCGATGATGAACCTTGCAAGAAAAGAAGTAGAACAAGCAACATCAGAAAACTGACGTTGCCAAAAAGAAATAGGGATAACACAGTAAAGAGCTGGCAGGTATAGAGGAAAGCATAAAAATAGAAATATACATTTGATGACAACTTATAACATACAACAATAATGCACTTACAAAAACCATCCAAGGCCAATGCCACAGCAAGGCAGACGTGGCTCTCTCAAAGGCCTTCCTTCAGCAACAGCAGCATAGGCTATTAAAATAAACAAAAAGAAAGATCATGAAGATGAATAAAAAAAACTGTAAAACAATAAATGACAATCAGTAATAACCATGATACGAAATTGAGAATTGTGTATCCTTTCCAACAACAAAGCAGACTACTTTTAAAAATTGTAATATACATGCAGGACCTTATGCCATTAAAATGCAAAACAAAAATGAATGTAAGGGAGAAATTCTAATCAGTTAATTGCAGGATTAAACTAAAATATTAAAATTCTGCTAGCAACGAAGTTTAGCATTGAATAATCTATTAACTCGTCCAGAAGGGCCAAATATCCGAAATCAAGTTTAGAAAACAATTGGACAAATGGAAAGATTAAGTATAAAGAAGATAGATTTAGGCTAATACAGGTAATTGCCCATTAACTTGGTTTAAGTATTAGTGATGCAGCAGCTTCCAAGGGGTAAGGCTCGGATCAGCCTCTCGTCAAGAACGGTTATTATGTTACTGAAATGAATGAATGGTCTACAATTACCTACACTGGAAGTAAAGCGTGCATACAAATAACTGGCCCATACTAAAAAGATAAAAAGGAGGAGCAGCGCATTATCGATGTGCATGGAAACAAAAAAAAAAAATAGAGATCTAAACTGATGAGAACTGAAAATGAAGATATGTAGTTTGAGATTGTCGTAAATGAATGTTATCCCCTCACTCATGTCATCAGAAGCCATATGTGGAGCACACAAAAATAAGAGTGGGCTTCATATCTGTCAAAAATTGTTAGTTATATGTGGAATTTGATTGTGTCAATGAATCGGGTTGTAAACCACGCAACAAAACAAACAAGAAAAATTAGAATGCAATGAAAAGTAAAGAATACCAAGATTTAACGTGGAAAAACCAGAAATCGGGAAAAATCGACAGAGCCACACCACACCTAGAAATCCATTTATGAAAATTGTGAGAAATAAATACAGACCTATCTTCTCTCTCACTCTCTCCTTGCTTCTCTTCTCTCTTACATCATTCTCATACTCAAAACAAATTTGATGACAACGTGAGAGCATTGCTTATGTTAGCTTCATTGTCATATAAATGTGATCGGCTTGTTACTGCTATGAGTAATTCTTCAAAAAGTTTAGAGTTAAACTTTACGAATATTGTGGGGTTAGTGCTGAAGAAGAGGTTTAGAAAAAAATCCAAGTAGAAGATCTAAAACTAGAACATGAAAATCTATTTTAGGTAAATTGAAAGTTATGTGTTAAAACTGTGGAAATAATGGACACTTGAAGGACTATACTGCTCCAAAGAAGGCTAGTGGCAGATGTCAAGATAAAAGTAACTCTGCGAATATTTATGCAAAAAAAATTTAGAGTGATTCTCAGATTTTTTTCTCTGAATAAATTTTAATCTTGGTTTATATATTCAAATGCTTTATTACATGTAAGTCCTAATAAGAAGGCATTCAAGAATTACACTCAAGATGATCTAAGTAAAATATATATGGGGGACAACAATCCCTGCACTATTGTAGAACAGGGAGATGGTAATATAAGAATGTTAGATGGGTCAACTTGGAGACTCAAGGATGTTAGATATATTCCTTGTCCGAGGAAGAATTTGATTTTCATATTTATTACGTCATCTGGTTCAACCCCTCGTTCAACCCAATCGAACCATTGAACCTTGAACATTTCATTCTTCTAGTTCTATATTTAGTCCAATTTTCACAACCTTGGAGTCGAAAATAAAATTAGGATTTAAACAAATGTAAACTCATATATATTAAAAAATTTATACAAAAAATTCTTATTATAACATACATTATTAATAATTAAAAAATAATCACATTTTTACTGCACATATTGTTATTCTTGTTTCACACAAAAAATAATCGAATTTAATTGTACTTAAATTTAGGGTAAGCACACATGTTAGCAACCACCCCTAAAGTTTCACAAAACTATATCATTTTTTACCATGAAATTTGTAAAACTTGATTGAGGAAAAATTCCAACATTCTAAACTCTGCTAAAGCCAAAATGTTCTATGAAGATAGCAAAAGAAACTTGTCATAAAAAACTTCATGCATATTAGCTATTGTCAATAAACATGTGTACAAAACCTCGACAAATCATAGCAAAGAAAAATCTTTTAAAGTTTAAAAAACTCCAAGAATTTGCTTGAATATGTAACTGCAATTGTCTTTCTTACAGATATTTACCAACATATTCAACAAAACACCTATTCTCATTGCAGCTGCACCGCAATCGTTGCCCTTTATTGTGCCATTCAATTGAGCCACTTGCCTTTGCCAATATCTTTGTCAGCAAGTTGTTCCTACTTTCAAGTTTGTTTGGCTAAAAGTATGTCCTCTTTAAAGTCTATTTGGCCAATCCTACATTACCAAAAGAATCCAATAGGATAGAGACATGCTCACCAATTAGTTCTATATTGGTTGCAAGGAGATGAAAAGACGAGAAAAAATAAAAAATGAAAGTAGAAAACATGGGGTGTGGGGCCCCTCAAAAAAGTAAAACCTTCTTTAGGGATGACAACCATGTATTAGGTTACAATTAGGTTCAAACCCAAGGATGCAAAGCTTGTGGCCTCAATTCAATTTAGGCTTTTTTGGGTCAACCAAGGCTTATCGGGCCCGCCAATCCAAGCAAAACAATTTAAATATACCATTTTTATAGCTTATTGCTTCATTCAATGTGAGGCTTATTGTCGAACCCTAAATGCAACTCATGAATTTATCTTGATCGCCACGTTTGGGCCCATTAAAATGTTCTACTCAAATTTATTGTCATTGAATCCATTGCCTTTGGGCATGCCATCATCTGCAACCTTTTACCATGCTACAACTGCCACCTGATTCACTACTACACAAATCCTTATGTTGCTTTATTGATATCTCCATCTTCAATCTCCATATTACCACCTCTGTTTCTCATGTTCCAATTGGCCCTAGATTCATCATAGCCATCACCATTAAGTTTATTATTGCCATAACTTTTAGGCTTGCTTTAGTCATTAACTCTACGTCAAGTGTAGCTGCCACACTTAGCTCTGTCGTAATCTCCACCTTCAAAGCTTATCATTGTGTCATCTTTGCAGAGGTCTTATGTGCTACCTTTGGGTTAATCGCAACCAGCATTCTTAAGTTAGTTCAAGCCGCCGCCATTGAGTTTTATGCTAGCACCATCTTCGACCTTGTTGTTACAATTAATTTTATCAAAAGTGCAAGGCACGCTCAAAGCAATATGACTGTGATATGCCCAAGATGCTGAACAAAACTAGGCGTTTACTCAATTGAAGTAGGGAACTAAAAAGGAAACATGCAGGTTATTAATTTCTATAATTATGAGGATACTTTTGAGGTAATATTACGATTATATTATGGTAGAAAGAAATTATAAATTTCCAAAGTTCATTGCATTTCAAGATTGAGAAGTTTGCTAAATAAATTAGGCTAAATAAGCGCATTTAAACTACTTAAATTTGTAGCGAGTGTAAAATAAGAAGATGATCTTTTTACTAAATCAGTAGCCTGCCATTTTATTTTTCTCCTTGAACTCATATTCTTCATCATAAAGTTTTGCTTCTTTAGAGCTTGAAGTTTTCCATTTGAATTCGCTCAACTTACCTTTAAGGGAGTATAACTGTTTCCTGACATTCTTTCAAATCGTCCTAAAGTTAATTATATTCATAAAAAATAAAATCATCTTTGGCATTTAAAATATAGGCACTCTTGCTCAATTCAAAGCGAGACATTCACTTCAATGCTTAGTGGCTTACAACTAGATGCTTGCCTAGGCACGCATTAGTACTGACTTCATCCTCGGAGGTGTGTGAAACACTACAGCTTCAACTTTGCCCAAGCACCTAAGTGAGCTCTTAATGCACTTTCAACAACATTAGTTATTCTCGACTTAGAAGTTAGAAACTATCATAGTTGACAACTTAATGCAGCCACATCCAAAGATAGCTCATAGATATATCACATCCAGCACTTTTGGGTCTATAGCAACCATTGCCTTAGAGCTTGTCACAATGACTAGCCTTAGGTTTATCATTACCACCACTCTTATCATCACTACTTGTATATGCCATCGTTGTTGTACCAAGATCCAACACTCAAGAAGCCACCCCAATTAGCACCATCCGATGTTTATCACTAATACGTTATCATGAAATTATCTTGATCGGGCACGAATCTCGAGGCAAAAATCAAGCCGGAAACTTCAAAAATTAAATCCGGGAGCATCTGAACTCCGATTTCAGCAAGCTTATAGTCAAACTGAGCGTCTCGGAAATACAAACCCAACAACACCAAATTCAACTCAATCCGAGCCCAAATGAGTCCAAATCAAGCACCCGATGTGCTGTTGGAAAGTTCATACCACAATTTAAGTTACCAAGCAAACTTTGATTTTAATGAGCTTATAGTCGAATCGAACGGCTCGACGAGACAAATCCAACGAGCCCAAGATCGTCGAATTCCGACATCACTAAGACCTTCAATTGTTTGACGAACGGTGCACGATCAAGGGATTCAATATCAGCCATCCATTTGACCGCTCCCTATTTGCCCCTTATTTCACACCTATTTACAAGTTATGCCACTCCAGAAAATCTATAAATAGACCCCTCATTTCTCATGAGAGGGGATCCAGGCAAGAAGAAGAGGAGGAGAAGAGAAGAGTAGGAGTGAAGAGACTCCTCCTCGACCACCGCCAGAGTTCCGCCTGAACTCCAAATGACGCCGGAATTCTGCCCGACTTCCACGAGACACCAGAATTCTGCCTGACTTCCACGGGATGCTAACATTCTGCCCAAGTAACAACAGAGTTCCCCCCTGACACCGAAACTCTGCCCAAGTTATACCGGAGTTCTCCTCGGCCACCAACAAACGTCGGACTTCTACCTGACACCAGACCTTCACTCATTGCCAAGTTTCTACCAGACGCCGGACTTCTACCGGTTATCGGACTTTCGTTGGACATCTATCCGAAAATGAATTTCTTTTCATTGTTGGACTTCTACTTGACGCCGTCCTTCTGACCTTCATCGTCAGACACAGTCCTTTCAACCTCCGTCGCCAGCCGACTACAGTTCTCCTGACTTACGTCGCCCACCGACTACAGTCTTTCCGACCTCAGTCGCCCGCCTACTATGGTCCTTCTGACTTATGTCGCCTGCCTACTATAGTCCTTCCGACCTCCGTCGCCAGCTGACTACGGTCCTCCTGACTTCCGTCGCCCACCGACTACAGTCCTTCCAATAAAGCGAATGCGTCAACAGTGACTCTTTGTATTCCCAACATGTAATGTACTCTATAAAATGTACATCAAGTTAAGGCCTTCTCCCAAGGAAGGGCCTCATTTGTAATCAACAGTCATACTAGTGGATTCATTCGAACTGGGCTAGACCCTGTGGTTTTTTCCCATTTTAAGGGGTTTTCCACGTAAAAATCTTGGTGTCTCCTTTAATGATGTATCCTCTCTCTAATCTGATTGCGTGCCGGATTTTCGTACAACGCTAAGACGCTAAATTTTCTATTTCTCTACCGCCGCGAATATTCCTGGACGCAACAATCACTATGTCCACATGGACGGTCATTATCACCACTAAAATAGATTAAATCATCTTCAAAACCTTTATCACTCAAAAATCAATGATGATTGTATGGCGGTGAGCTTTTCTAATAAAAATGTATTCATATATAATGAATTCTAACATTTGGGATAAGCCACTTATTTTTTCCTCCACGTTATAAAAGAAAATCTGTCTTCTAACACTACGTATGTAACACAAATCTAAAAGGTAACACGAGCTCTCACCTGCTCTCCTAGCTTGCAAGAAGTTCTGAAACACAACATATTTAGTTGTCACTGTTTGCAAATACAAGAAAGGTTGGCGTAATTATTTAAAATATTGAAAACACCTCTTATCAATATTTCATCAGGATTGCAAGCTACAGCGAATTTTCTTACAAACTCCCCTAAAATAAACAATCCAATCATTTAACTATCTCAGTACTTCATGCAAATGTTAGGTCAATCCATGCTAAGAAAAAGCCCCAAACGTAATCGAAACCAACCCAACTACCCAAGTATCAAGTTACGAGGCACATGTAAGGAATCGCGAGATCTTGAAAGAGATATTTGAAATAGGTGTAACACTAGGTAGATAATTTACCTGGAACAGATTGGTAGCCATGGGGATAGTAATTCTGGCCTGGATGGGGCGGATAACCAGAGGCTCCTGGCGGCGGAACCGGCTGGGGAAACCCCATCGCTGGCTGCTGCGAACTCACACCTTGGAACGTCCCGTACTGAGGATCAGAGTGATGATGCTCGTGATGGTGATGTTGGTGATGATGAGGATCACCGCTCCGTCCATCGCTGCCTTTCCACTGCGCTTCACTCATCTCTCTCTCTCTCTCTCGTCACGCAGATCTCGTGGAATCTGATCGTTGACAAAGGAAGGCTGGCTATATCTCCTTTGTTTATTATTATTATTATTATTATTATTATTATTACATGTTTATATAATCATTATTTACTCCCATAATATTAGAACTTTTAAACACCACGCTCCATTACAAACCCTATATCCTCACCAAGCTTTCCCCCCCACCCCCCACTTTTTTTCTTTTTTTTTTTTTTTTTTTTTTTTTTTTTTTGACATTTAGACCAGTTAAGATAGACTCACACATACACGCATACATAAGACTCAAAAGACCTCTTAGTTGATAGGCTAAGCTCCCAACCAACAGATCAGGATAAGTTGTGTGCTTCTCTTATCTCACACTTGATTAATCTCATTGTCATCCTTTTCCAGCACATATATCATCGATCTCATGAGTCTCCTTCCTCAGATTCCCATCGCGACCCTTCTTAATGAGATCCCTCTACACACTTATCGAGACATTCTTTTTGTCAAATTTCATCCAAGTCATTAACATTAGTCAACTAAGTATTATTTTAGATAAATACTAAAATTTAGATATTAAATATGTTATATGTAATGTGATAATTTTGAATGTTATGTATATAGATTGATTTTTTTTTCTTAATAAAATATTTTACAATTTATTGTTCAATTAAAGTAATTCCATTGTATCGGTTGAAAGCTAGAAAGGATTTCTGATTTTGTTACAAGAGAATATGAGATACAAAGGTATGGTGATGGCTAATGGGTGATGGCAACAATCAGTGGTGGGGAAGGATAGCGAGAAATTGCTTGGTGTTAATAACGATCGACAGTGGGCTAAATTTTATTTTAAAATTCATTTGTTTTATATTAAATAGAATTTTGTTAGCATTGTAACTTAACTTTTAAAATAGTAATTTCCTTGTTAAAAACATTATTATATATATTTGTGTTAAGGTGCATAAAATTTTATATAAATATAATTTTATTTCAATTATATGTATTTGTTGGCATATTTTATTTCCATAAAGATATTTTTTGTTTGATTATATCACGTCAAACCATGGTAATTTCATCTCAAAATCATGATAAGTTCCCGACGAATAGGTCATCAAAAATCAATTTAATTGGGTATGAATATCAATGTACATTTGAAATTGATGCTTTTGAAACCATTCAAACTTAGATTTCAACAAAATTACAATCAAACTAAAGCTTTTGATGAGATGAACCCATCAACATCAAGAGTGATATGATCCAAGTATAAACGAACCCAAATCAAACATTTACAATGTTATTAAAACTTTTGAGACATTAATTAGGAAACCAAATTATCTCTAAATCTCACATGCAAATCAAGCTTCTTGACAAGATGAATCTAAGCTCAATATTGTTTAATTTTGAATCATTAAGGCACTTAAATATCAAAAGAATATTATGTGATCAAGGGAATCAATAAGGGTTTTTTGATAGTGTTCAAAGTTTTGGATATGTTTATGGAGTATGTCATTTCAAAAAATAATGAATAGACCTCCAATCTATATATGAAGGGGATGCTTGGGTTGAGATTCAACAGATCTCTGAAAACTTGAAAAAATCTTGAAGCTCAATAAGGTCATCACCATTAAACCACAACATAATCATCATTGTTAGACCATTGTATGATCGACATTGTCAGACCACAACCTAACCAAGGCCAAAAAACTATCATAGAACTATCATTGCCACCATCATCATAACATCATTGCTTGACCTACTAACTTTTTCGTTAGTAGTTGTAAGATTACAGTCGCCTAGCCTCCACCATCAAACTGTCACCATCTAAATGCTACCAACTGACCACTGTCATTCGACCATTGCCACCTGAATTTTGCATTTGATTATTGTTGCTTCACTACAATCCTCCAATTAATATTACTCAATTATGGCCCTTTAACCAACATCACTCAATAATTATTTCCCAACCACCATCACTTGGTAAGAATCTCAAATTTTAATCTAACTAAAATTCATATAAATTTGAAATTTTGCATGTGAGCATTGTAGTGCTATACTTGTGAAATGATGTGGTGGCAAGCTCTCAGGTTTTCAAGTGCTTAAGTGAGCGTTGTGGTGCTGAGGTTTTAAGCGTTGTGGTGCTAGACCTAAGAAAAATATTTTTAAAAAAATAATAAAATATCTAAATTCATTCATTCAAAAACCTCACCATCCCTCCCCTTTTTATGTTTGTTATTTTTTTCTATTTTTCTTGACAACAACTTTTGCAAAATCATCACTACCAACTTGCACCACATTCATATCATAATCCTCTTGAGAACCCATACTAGCATCCTCATTTGCCTCCCTAAAATCTCTAATAGCCGGTGAATTGAACGGGATTAACCAGTCAGAATGATCAATATAATTTATAATTAAAGGCATGCTAATAGAACCATTAATACAATCATTAGTTTCAACAAAAAGGGATAATGTGAAAAGACCCCTGTTTAGATAATGCAACATCACGATCAGCGTCCACATTCACCAAGTTGTCATTAACCGAATGAACCATTAAAAGGAGGCACAATGGCCGCCTCCATCACATTCTCCACAGGCCGGTAACTGAGTAGGAGCAACCATTCTAGACAAAATGGCAATAGAAAAATCATGAGTTAAGGAAGGGCCAATCAAAGTGACCATATATTGAATTTTCTGACCAACACCCTCAATAAGACCCTTAGTATTAGCTTTATTAGCAACATTAACAATTGGCTCAAGATTGGACTTTTTATCAACACTACCACAAGAGTTAATGCAGTTGTTACTAGTAAAATTTTCCTTAACACCCACAGTATATGAAACATTAACAATAAGCACAGCTTTGTAATAGTCTGTGAATCCTTTTGTAGCTGAGGGTTGAGGATGATACACTTAGTTTTATGCCCTAATGACTTGCAATGATCACAAAAGCTAGGAAATTCTTCCATCTCAACATGTTGAATATAGCCAAATTATTTAGAACTTAACCAAATAGAATCAGGATATCGCTTAGAAACATCTAACTCAACCAACACAAACGTAATGGAAGGATGAGTCCCGATAGAAGTAGCATTGTCAGTTTTAAGAGGGTAGCCAAACATGGAGCCCAAACCGTGAAGAATTCATGAAGTGAAAAGATGTGGCCTAAGATTAGGAAAAGAAACCTAGATGGGTATACAGGAGGATTCTGCTGTAATATCAAAGAACGGCGACAATTTGGTAAATTTCACGAAACAATTGGAGACAAAATACGATATATAAGCAAACACTCTACTTTAATCCATATTATTAAAAAGTTTGATCAAAATATGTTTAGCATCTAGAAGCATAATTGAAAATCACCACACAGTTTGAGATTGAAAAAAAAAATGAATCACAATGAGAGAAAGACTTGGCTAAAGCGAATTCGAAAGGGCTTGTAAGATGAAGACATCTGAAATCCATAGCAACGTCATCCCACGATAAGTAGTAACTTTAAGATCAGGAAAGACATTCGTGGAAGATACGTCTGAAAGGGCTTCAACAAAGGAACGAGAGGGATTTTTCCCATTAAAAAAACATGGGTCTCCTGATCGGACATCCAATCCAAGTTTTTTTTTTTAAAGAGAAAACCCACATAGAGGGCCTACGTGTTAATTTTAAAATTGTATTGCAAGTTCTTAGTGAATAAATAATCATCTAAAAATATAACATTTAATAAAAAAAAACTATGAACCTTTAATTCGATCTATTACAAAACAAATCACCAAACAAGAAAAACAAAAAAGAAACGAACAACTAAAGAGCCAAGGAAGGCCATAACAAAATCCAACAAAAAGGATGGGTCACACGAAATCAGCCACCCAAGCAAGTCTCCCAAAACAATCAACAACATACCCATGAGGAATCAACACCAAAAATAAGCCTGCAAGAGGACATAACAAATCACTGCAGGAGAATAGCAATTAACCATAAATATTAAGAAGACCAAAAAGACCAACAACCCTAGGACGAACAGAGGTAGAAGAAGACAACAGAGAATGTAAGGCAACACGACAGAAAAGCAACTCGAAACCCAACACCCTAAAAAACAAAGAACCAAAAACCCACATGCATACAGAGACCACTAAAGCCACCTCCCACCCAGCAGCCCACAAACGGTTCAAAGAGAACCCAACAAGGCAACCACACACAAGGACAGGTCCATAACCAACAAACAAAACCAACAAGACAGAGCAGACAAAAACGGACCAACAACAGAGGAAAAGAAATCAAACTATTTCCTTTTTTACTTTCATTCGACGTTTGCCACCACCCATAACAAAAGCTTTTTCAATTATGAGGTTGATATTCAAATTATACGTCACCTAAACATCATTATCAGGACCATCCAAGTTGTACCCATCAACCCCACAGGGTGAGGAAACAAAATTCTCAAGACAATCATTTTGATCCAAACAATTATTCTCCATACTACCCGCTAATTGAGCTATCAAAACTTCATTAGAAATAAACGAAACGGGAAAGTTGATTTATGGTTCATTCGAAAGAACCAGTTCCAACAACGACATCAGATAGTCAGCAGAACCAACAATAGTAAAATCCACCACATCCCCCAAGCCCTTTCGAGCGTGTCTTCCATGAATGTCTTTCATGATCTCAAAGTTACTACCGATCATGGGATGACGTCGCTATGGATTTCACATGAAGAGTTTCTTCATCTTGCAAGCTATTTCGAATTCTTTTTGGTTGGGTATTTCTCTCATTCTGATTCGAATTTTTTTTTTTTTTCAATCTCAAACTGTGCGGTGAATTTTCGGTTACACTCCAGGATGCTAAGTATGTTTTGATTAATTTTTTTTAATGATATGAATTACAGTAAAGTATTTGCTCATAGATGATATTTTATCTCACATGTAGGTTGACACCCAAAAAAGATTTATATAGGTACATCAAATAATTAAAAGTTTCAGTATCCTAATGTGCAGTGTTATGAGCAATCTTCCATTTTAAACTATTATTTTTAGATTCTTTTGCAGGACATAGTAT